CACGCACGCACAAGTTGACGCAATCAAACCTGGGATCCAAAGTAAAATATTAAGAAGGGCTTGTCTTACGGTTTGTTTGCTGGCCAACGCCCCTTTTTTGGGAAGGGACCACTTCGGCTCAGATCTTCACGCCCAGACGCTGTGGACAACCAGCCCTCCTCATTCTAGGGAGCAAATATCCCTGGAGAGTCTCTCACTTCTACGACCATTTAATTACTATCATGATTAACAGCAAGCAGTTAATGTGATTCTCACTTCCCTTCCAGCCAGGGGGCTGCTGCATACACACTAGGCAGCTGCTAATTCTTAGTCCTAAACTTGATAGTTCTGGATCCCACCAGAGTCCGTGAGGACCTCGGCAATCACACGTCTAATGAACACCGCTGTGGGGTTTCTCAGGCTCCCGGGCAGGGGCAGACTCACCCTTTCTCTCCCAACCCACATGAAGTCAAGTCTCATGAGTTCTGCAAACCTCTGCTCGTACAGGTGAAGCAGCAGCATCAGGTACAAGCCTGAATCCATCAGCTCACTCTGGGCCTAAACATGAAAACACTTGTAAGTTCATCTATGCAGTATTTATGATCTCAGCCAGGCATGGTGGCACATGCCCGTCATCCCAGCACTTGGGAAGCTGAGGCAGGAGGATCTCTGTGAGTTTGGGGCCAGCCTAGAATGCACAGTGAAACCCTATCTCAAGAAGACAAAACAAAGTAAAACACAAAGTGTTCATGAGCTCAGTCACAGGACAAGATAAAGAGGTGGGAAGAATTCAAGCTCCAAGGAAGCAGCATCCTGGGGGACAGAGGACAGAGGCGACAGTCACTGCAATTCTTTACGCCTGGTGGAGGATGCTTTGAGAGAAAAGTTGACCAGGTTCAGTCCTGTTCTGCAGACGTCTGGTGGACAGGTACACGTGTTGTAGGAGCGCAGGGAAAAGTCTCAGAGCCTGCAGCCAGACCTTAGCCCTGATGTGGGGGAGAGGATCCTGCTATAGACAAAGGCATGCAGTTGGCGTGAGTAAGGTCTGCGGGAGGGCTGCACAGAGGAAGCTGTGTGGTGGATAAAAGGGACATTAGCAGGGAGGGGAGGGAGGGAGGCCCACCGGACAGCAAAGACGGAGGAGTGAGGCAAGTGTGCGGTGGGCAGGATTTCCTCCTGGCTGCGGGCTCTGGGACAGGTGTCTGCTTGGATTTTAAAACCCTCTTGGCAGAGGCTGGGGCAGGAGTGAGCAGGGACCATGTCATGCTGTGTGTGGGGGGCTGCCAGTGTCCCTGGCCACAGGCACAACAAAACAGGATGCATCTTAGAAACAGACTTCACTGGGAGCCATCTGAGGCACGGGTGCCACAGTACCTCCTTGTCACAGGCCTGCCTTTGCCCACAGAAGGGGCCCAGCACCGCAGTGCCGAGCATTTCCTCTCGCAGTTGGGCTTGCAGATGCCCCCCTGAAGGCCCGCTTCTGTGGCTGCTCTGCTGTCGCCGAAGCCCTGAACAGCGGGCCCGGGCAGGGGCTTGTGTGGCCCTGCAAGCCACAGGGCCTGCGCTTGAGCTCTTTCTCTTCTCCTTTTGTGCCTCTGTGTCAAAGGCCACTTTCCTGCCCCTTCACCTGGCATGTCCGTGACTTTCCTGTGGCTGTCACCGACGTCACCTTGGGGAGGCCTCTCTGGTGGGCCTCGTCTGCCCCGCTGTTCCTTCACTCCCTGACTCAAGGCGGGCCTTCACTTTGCACAGCCATCTCGCCACGCTAATCTTTTTCCTCTTTCTTCCTTCCTTTCTTTGTAGTGCTGGGGAGGGAGCCCAGGGCCTGTTAGACAGGCACTCCCGCCACTGAGCCACGCCCCAGCTCATTCCTGTTTCTGTGTCACAGGAGGGCTGCGTGCTTCTGCTGCTTGGGGAGGGTCAGGCTGTGTGGCTTCTGCGGCCAGCCCCTTGGCTGTGCTCAGAGCCTCCCCCCTCTGTTGATCTTCCTAGACCTTCAGTAAATCTGCAGTGTCAGTAACAAAACCACCCTGCAGGGGGTGAGGGGACACACTTTCATCCCCCTGTCCTCCCTGCAGGTCTCGGGCTGGGCCACCCCCACCCCCTCTGGGGGACTACAGTCCTTCTGCAGGGCCCTGGCTCTTTATGTTCCCCCTGGCAAGAGTGAGCACTAGGGCTCCACGCGCCCGCGATGCCAAAGCACAGATCCGACCCAGAGACCACTTCCCTATTCCCAGTAGACGGAGGACACCGCAGGAAGTCGGTGCCCAAGGCGCCTCAGAGACCACTTCCGTGTCCCCAGTAGACGGAGGGCAGCAGGAAGTCGGTGCCCAGTGCGCCTCTTCAGGCACTGCGTAACTACCAGGGAGGTGCAGAGCACGGACCTGCACATCCTTCCTTCCTCCCTTGGGAACCAGGCCAACTCCGGATCGCGGTGACAGCCGGCCTCAAGGTCGCTGCTCAGGGCCTCTTCACCACCCTACAGGCCCATCTTCAAGGGCTTGGGTGTAATGTCCTCAGCAGTCGCTCTGAGCGTTAGCCTTTCGTCCTGTTTTCTGTGTTCTGCCAACCTGGGTGTGGCGCAGGTTGCTTTCACTTTTCCGGTCCTGGGCCCCCCACCCCACTCCCCGAGGGCTTGTCCCGCCTGCCACGGCCTTCTAGGCGCATCTCCAAAGCCACCACCTCTGGGAAGCCGTCCTCGCGCGCTCCGCAGCTCCGCGCCCGCTAGGCCTGTCTGCCCCGGTCTTCCGGCCCTGGCTTCCCTCCGTGAGGGCCGGAGCTTTCCTCTTAGCCCTGCCTTTGCCAAGCCGCCCTTATTCGAGAAGCACTCTGATGCATAACGGCGAACCTACCAGCTGGAGAGCGGCTTGGAACTCTGAGCTTTGTCAAAGCATTCAGGGAAATCATTACTTTTATGACTGAGTGAGGCCTGGAGGCGCGCAGATGGGAAAATAGCCGCTAATGCTTTCTGCAGATAATTTGAAAAGTCACTTGGAGCAGATTGTGCCTCTCCTCTGTTCTGGGGGAGGGAACCTGTCACGCAGAGCCGAGATGAGGGTCTCCAGCGAGCCTCCTCCCTCCTGACGTGTCCCTCTCGCAGAGCTTGTGATGCGGACACTGCCCGGCTGGCCAATCAGAGCAGACGCTGGCAGGACCAGCGTCGCCGCTCTGCTCCGAGCCACAAGTGGGCGGGGTCTGCTGCCGAAGGGGGCGTGGCATCTGCGCGGCCAGGCCAAGCGCGCTAGAATTTGGAGCACTTGGTTCTTGGAGTTGCTTCTGATCCGCTCCTCACTTGACCTAATCGGATCACACTCTGTCTCCCACGCAGACTTTTAATGCCTGACTGACGGGACAGGGGGTGACAGCAGAGGCCACTGGGGAACAGCGGGAACACTGGGAACAGAGAAGGCTTGTGAGCAGTGGGTAGGGGCTCTCCGGAGGGCAATCCACCTGCTAGTGCCTTTCCTTTCTTTCTCGTCTCCCACCCTTGGCTTTGTTGCTGTTCGTTTTGGCCAAGAGGTTTGCTGGGGATAGATTTGCCCGTGCACTGGGAGAAACATGTCTCGATGACCATTTTTATGAGGTCTTCAAGTAGGTTCCAGAGATGCTCCGGGGCACAGGGTGGTTGGTTGTGTCCTGGGCTGGGACAGAGCTAGGCTGGGCCCCACACCCCACAGCAGCAATAGCAGAGGCCACGGAGCCCCTGCTGGGAGCGGAGCCCAGAGGCCAAGGGTGCTCCTCTCTGACACAGGGCCCGGGGCGCCAGAAACTGCGTGGGTTATGGAGGAGGATTGGGCCTGGTCACTGTGACTTGGGACAGTGGGTTTTCACTGTGTGGGGCCAGGTAACCCCTGTTCTGCCTGCCCACACCAGGGGTGATGCAAATTGAACTGACAGGTGGATGTAGAAGGTCACCAAACAAAACATCCTAACCAGGATGGACAAGATGGGCAAGAGTTACAGATGGGACCCAGGGCCCTTGTTCACGAGGGCCTGGCTGAGCGCTTGCAGGCACCAGTGCTCCTGGTGCCTGGCCCAGTGCCTGGGGTACAGTGTGCACTTACTAAATGGTGCTCGGGCTGAACAACGCGAGCCAAGCCTAGGCTTCTGCGTGGCCTTCTGCGGACCTTCCTGAGCCACGGCCATTGCATACCAATCCTCTTGTCAGGAGGCAGTGGCTGTCTCGGTCTGGATACGCTGTCGTACAGTCCATCCAGTAAGTGCTCAATGTGAATAGTTATTTTAGATATACTAGGGACTGAACCCAGGCCCTTTTCACTGAGCTACACCCCTGCCCTTTTAAAAATTTTTCGGTTTTGCTGTGTTGTCCAGGTTGGGCTTATTCTCGCGATCCTCTTGCCTCAGCTTCCTGAGTGCTCAGATGGCAGGCATGCGCCACCATACCCAGCTCACAAGAAGTATCTTTAAAGTGATTTGAACTTTTTTTTTGTTTTTTAGCAGAACTGGGGATTGAACTCAGGCCCTTATGCTCGCCAAGCAAGCGCTTATTCTACTGAGCTATCTCCCCAGCCCCGATTTGAACTTGTTGTTATGTGTGTTTTGCCACAGCTTAAAAAAGGGTACTTGACTCCATCCAAGTTCGATTAAGTCTGAGTCTCTGGGGCTGAAGTGGGGCATCAGTATTTCACTAAGGAAAACAAAAAACATGCAGCTGAAGGTTAAAAGCTGTTACCTGGAATAGTAAATTACAAATTTGTGTGTGTTTATAATCAAAGCAAAACCAGACAAAATAACTCGCAGACTGCAGAAGAAAAAAAATCAGCAGCTTGAGGTCAAGTGGGAGCCGGGCTGAGCAAAGCCGCTCTCAATCTCTCCTGGTTTTGCCCCTGTCTCGGCGCATGTTGAGTTTTGGCACCAGCTCCTCCTCCGCTTGTCATGGAGGGGCCAACACCCAGGGGACACAGTGTGGATCTGCCAAGGGGCCGGGCCCTGAGACGCACAGGGCCATGTGTGAGCGCTGTGGCTGGGGACCCCACCGGGCTGGTCCCCACAGCGACAGGCTCAAGTCCTGCTACACCCTTGCCGCTTTGTGTCAGACAGCAGCTGCGCAGCCTTTGTCTGTGGAGAGTTTCTGAACTTGTCTGAATCACACTTCCCTGGAGTCTCCAGTTTAACTCAGACTGTCAGCAAACAGACACTATTAAATTCACAACAGGCCACCGGACAGGCAGAATTGCTGTGAAAGCGCGAGTCCTCCACAGCTTTCCACCAGCAAGTAAATGCCATGCTTTTCGGCGGCACGGGCCTCCTCAGCAGGGCACGATCACGCTTCTTGAGGCTGCAGCCTCCGCCGGGGTGGGTCTGCCATCGAGGTTTCTGCCCGGGAGCATAGTGAAGGGCACTTTCCAAAGGCTTCGATGGACTGTCAGAGTCTCCCAGAAATGAACTGAGGAGCTTTTCTGCTTCCAGTAGACCACTCACTCACCGGACACCCCTGCTTCCCCCTCTAGGGACTGTACCCCACTCTGGGAGAAAAGGCTGACCCCAGCGCTGGCGTCACTGGGCCTCCTCTGGCTTCTCAGTGGGTTTGGTTTTTA